AAATTAGAGATATCGACTTAATACACAATAGTTTATTCGACTCATAAGCATAGATAAATATACTAGATATTTATAAGGTATTACGAGCCTTAATCGACACGGCAATTGGTCCGCGCCATTTAACCCAACAATGCGGTACGTAGCCGAATAATTTTCAAGTTTCACTCGCTCAAAACTTTTTACAATTTCTCGAAAGCGGTGGCAACCACGGCGTTCTCTAATGCCGCCATTAGATGCAGCCGTGCATCATTTGTGCAATTGTTGTGCCCTACTTCCGAAAGCCAATCACCTGCCGATCACGCGAATGTATTAAAAGTAGTATAAGTTAGCAGTTAAGGTTCCAAAGTAGTTCCACGAGACATCACGGAGAGGACAGGCTTTCTACTTAAAAATGGTCTTCTATCTTCAATCTGTCCTCCGAACTTCAACGTAGAGCATGATGATGATGTCAATTCCGAAATAAATTACAAAGGTCCTTACGATACGTCTTTCGAAAATGGGAATTTCATAACGAATGAAGTTCTGATAGGACGAAATTGGGAAATGCACTCTTCGAAATTCGTTCTGGGTATCTCAGAATGAATTCCGTTGCTCTGGTATTCGTAGTACAGGGAATTCCCAAGTTCGAGACCAGGTAATTGGTGTGTTTGTCTGGCACTATTATTACTATTCCAATTACTTCAAACTTTAAAATAATTAAACTAGAAACTGCAGAAGTAAACTATAGGTTCTTAATTTAATTACGTTGCACACAGGAAACGGGGTAATTGTCCCCCATTAATACGAACAACTAACTAAACTAAATAAAAAAATACTGTCAAATTGTAGTCAGTGAAAGGTTAAATAATACCCGCATATCACTTAGTTTGGATTTATTTTTCTGCATCAATCTGTCGAATTTTCAGCTGCGCGTTTTTTGACGCTTCAAGTAAACCTACAACAGTACCGTAGTGCTTTTTGTTTTCCTTCTTTGTAATTCGCTACCGTTAGGTCTCTATACAAGGCTTTAGACTTTTGATTACTATCTCGCATTAAGCCTTTTCACCCGCCACGTCGTAGAACAGTACTGGGTTCGAACTCCCCCGTGGCTCGAATGTCTGGTTTGTATAATGACTGCTCCAAACATGTGGATATTTTCTATGATTCACTCCCAGGGTTAAAAAACTCAATTGTACACTTTCTTAATAATAGATATAAATAATATTTTTTGTTATTTAGGTAACAAACTTAAAAAGTAATATGTCTTGGTATTCATTGTTTTTATATTTTATATTGAGCATAAGTTACACATTTAATTTTTTCGCATGTGGTGCTCACCTGTAATTGGTTAAGCAATTAGATTAAGCTTTTTCTCGATGTTGTCTAATGAATGAAATATTGTTGTAACTGTTGGTGTGCCTAATAAAAAAAAAAAAAAAAAAAAAAAAATCTCCGTAGGCAACTGGCTTGCACACTGGTTTACATGGTGTCGCCATCTCTTAGGTCCCGGATTCGAACCTCGACCTCGAAAATAACTTTTCTATTATTGTCTCGAGTCTGGGTGTTTGTAGTACCGTCTTTGTTTCCGATTTCCCCAACATAAGTGCTTTAGTTACTTACTTTGGGATCCAATATTTATTTATTTAAAAATTTACCTGATCATACAAGTCAACAAATTTCAACCGCCTTAATCTTTTAACTTAACGTAATCTTAACTGTCAAGGTTCGAATCAAATTATCGTACGGTTACGGTATTGTCTTGAGCCGACTTTACAAAAAGAGGTTATTGTTACTTTGTTTCCGTTCAGTCTGGCTGTCTGTTTCCATTCGCTCTGCATTGGGTTATTTCGCAATGTCTAATTACTATTTTTGTAATTTGTAATTCGTTCTGCAATAACAATTTAAATATTCAATCGGCAACAAAATGTTCTTTTCATGGGGGCTTGTTCAGTAATATCTAAGCATTAGATGAAAAAGAACTTTATAAAAAACTAATTTTAATTGCACTTTCAATTGCTGTTAAGACGAATTCCAGTTAAAATCACAAATGTTCGAAAATATTAAAAGTAAAAGTGGAAATGAAATTTTTTATCTAAATCGCGTATATTTGTTTTTTTTCTATAAACGTTCGATTATATTGATTATATATTTTCAGGTTATTTTTAACACGTTGGCATTTTTTTTAATTTAAATATGCCAGAATATTATCATGAAGTAGTAGTTAATATTCGAATGTAGTATATAATATATAATAATAACTCACAATAATATACTTGAATACTTAAATAATAAAACATGAAAATTACTCACATACGGTAATGTTCAGGTTAGTTCTTTACCTAATCTTAGTGGCAATTTTAATAATATACTCGAATACTATAGATCAACTGATGTGCGATGCATACTTACTATAAATCTGAAAAAACAGTTTCATTACTTATATGTTATCTAATGTGATAGTAAGGTTTTGAGAACGAATTTCAATTCGTAGTCAAATAAACATAATGTAATTTTTCGCCTGAAGAACGAATCAATTTATATAAAACTTATTATCAACAAAATCCTGTTTCTTTATTACCACATCAACCGATATGCGAGTTTATCACGTCACGCCATGACACGTATATCCAACAAATTGTCACTAATGTACCTATCATTTATGTTGCCTAATAAAGACAATACAATGCCGAACTCACAGCGTTTCAGACTTCAATATGCGTTTCAGTTTTTTTTTATAATATCAAGAGACGGGACTAACAAGTCGTGTGCCCGGTTTTTTCTGACATTCGTTCGGGAGGCCGCCCGCCAGGACTGTCTCGACTTCGGGCTCGACCGAGTGATTTTATAGGACCACTTCTTCTCATTCATCCGTCATTTTTGTTATTGACTGTTTTGTGTCGTATCTACCGGTGACTCATAGGGACGGTAGACCTTTGGAGATCTAAAAAGTAGGCATAAAAACTTTTCGTCTATTCCAACTTACAATATTTATATATAAGCCCTTCATTTACCCTGAAAAATAAGTTGACAAGAGCCATGTGCTTGTAAGTTCACAAACGCACATGACATAGGAAATGATGAAAGATTAATTTATATTTCTATTATGTATAAGAAATAAATAATCAGAGTGCCATGCGGTTGGGTTTCTAAAACTTAAACTTTATTCAATTTTTTTTTTCACATTTTCAGGTCAGGTTTAAGAAGATGCTAGACCACCAGAACGTCGTCAAGCTGTTCCAAGTCAAAGAGACAAGTCCCATGTGTCTGTAATTTCACCAGCACCCCTTAACCTTCAAAACCAATGAAATCACATTACAGTACTTCCCCAGGGAAGTACTAGTAGTAGAAGCGAATAGACGTACAAGGAGCTCTACTGCTACAGAGATAAGTTATTTAGAAAGGAAAATATTTCATACCATTTGTTGCCGCTTAACTCTAGCCAATATTTCAATGTTTAAAATTGCTCAACACTTTCCGTTTTTTGTACAAACCTCTTAAAACAACGAGAAGAAGAATGAATTTTAAATTGACGCAACTAACAAAGATAATACTCGGCGAGCCTGAGAAAATAAATATTTATGTTCAAATGTAAACAACTGTTATGATAAAAGAAAAAAAAAGTCATTTATTTGACAAATTAGATTTTTTAATAGACAGACAATTGTTATCTAAATTCACTTCAACGAAAACATTGATACTTCTAGTCCGCACCGGTTTTGATAAATGTACTTGTAGTTATGTGATTCTGAGTGTAATCTCGCCAACAAAGTGCTTTCGCAGTGTGGTGAGAAATTTTAGTATGTTTACTTCGATGCCTTTTGTATGAAATAAATGAAAATGAATTTCAAAAAAGAATACGTGCTTATTATTTAACGTGCTGTTTATTGAACAAAATCTCACTTGGTGGTCACAAGCTTGCTTAGAAGATGGCTGTTCAATCTGGCATTAGAATTATCCAGGTCGTATCGTTCGGAAGGTGCAGAACACGGCAGAGACCACTGCGAAGTTGAATTGATATTTTTTTCAAATAAAGTATGTTCAAAAAATAAATTATCAGTGTCCATAAGACAGAATTTTCAAAAGGCTACATGTTGTGTTGTTCTTGAATATATTAGAATTTTAATTGTATTTTAATCGCTCAGGTGTGTATGTGTAGTGTGTTCTTAGTCATAGACGGACTATGGCAGAACAGGTCACGGTAACTGAGTTATAAATCGATGGGACCACCGAATAAACGTTGTACTGTCTACTACATTAACAATTTAGTTTTGATATTAATTTGCATTTTCCTTTTCATCTATTGCAGATTAAAATATAAAGTACAACATGTAACAATATCAACTCACTGCCGGGTATGAGGTTTTAGATATCACACGTTTTCGTAGCACTATGAACCTTCGCCATTCAAGTTTCATTCCGATATTTTCCTTTACCGAAAAGCTCACGGGAAATTTCAAATTAAATTTTGCACATAAATTCATCCACGACCTCCAGCTACCACGGAATATAATATAATAAATATAAAGTATTTAGAAGAAGTTATCGGACATGTTTGTCAAACAAAGTATTTTTTTTATAAACCATTTGTGCTGTTTCCCTTAATGAAACGTGTGTAGAGCGAATTCTGTCTGATACAGAAATTAAATTCTGTCCTGGCGCGGGCATGGAACTGGCATACTGACATCAGAAACAATTACCTGAACGAGTGATAATATATGTTACTGACAGCCCAATTTTAACACACAATATACATACATACTAATACAAAAATTCGTAGAATGTCTCCAAAGAAATGAATCAACACCTCTCAAAACTATTCGAATTGTGTTACAAAAAAAGGAAATAAACACGTATGGCTCTAGGCAAACCGTGCAAAATTGACTGGAAACCTTTTTCAGACAACTCCAAAATAAGTAACGATTATATAAACAAGCGTAAGTATTTTGCAAAAAATCTGAACCGTTTTCAAACCTGTAGAAAATTCTAGTAAGGGTTCATTTGAACTTGAATTTCGAACACACCTGTACAACGAAAACCACATGTTATATCAATGCAGATTTACGCAATGCTATTATAATCAAGTTGAAAATGTAGTGACGGTAAAATAAATTACTAGGTATTCACTTGTCTCCAACGCTACCCGTAAAAGGTAAGTGACCTTTCCGGGCACTAAATCTTAGCAAGCCACTATTACAGTGACTGTAGATCCAACTGTTATTAACCGAACCACCGGAGCGTAACGCAACGGTATACCGGTTCAATCCACACACACAAAAACTTTAAATTCACTGTAAAATATCACTTTTGCATCACAATACACTTTTTCGTATCCCTAACACGTCACCGTAGTAAGTAGGGTCGATTATTAGTTTTTTTTGGAAATTTAAACTCAAGCTACACATCCGCACCGCGGGGAGAGCCAGAGGAGACTGAGGCGGTAGAGGTGCGCAGGCGCCGCCCGCGCGGTTATCAGCCTTCGCGGGGAAGAGGGGATGGAAAGAAAAGTCCGCACGTGATATTGAGATAAGCTGGAACTCATGCGTTTGACAGTGTTTTGTAGAGACTGGCAGCGTGTTTTTATAAGTCACGTTTTAACAAAACGTAAACAATATACGAGAGACGTAACTTGGTCCAGCTGAAGAGTGATAAAACTCATACAAGTTTCAATAATTGTTGATACTTATTTTTATAAATACATTCAAATTTGCTTCAACGACAATTTATAGCAAATTGTATATTTAAAAATAAACTTCCTAGTCTTCTATCTATTAGGCGAGCAGAACAGGTAGATATTACATGAAAGAATATGTCGTCTGGAATATATTGAAAATATATGACATGATATGAACAAGCAAATCGTTAATGTAAGGTTAATTATAACGCACACACTCAACATAGCCCACCACTAGGGAAACCCTGTGTCGCGGATGCCATGGACACACACATAGACAACCACAAATTACACCCAAACTCACGAGACAAATAATTGTAGGCCATACAACTATTTCTCCCGGCCCGGGAATCGAACCTGGGACCTCTGCGTGGCAGTCCGGCATGGTATCCGTTCGGCTACGGAGGCAGTTCAATTATTAATGAACGGAAAGGATTAATGTCAGATTTAAGGAATTTTTTACGCTTTCGCTATCAGGTGACGGACGCAGCCCAAAATGGCTTCCCAGGATGCCAGTTTTGCTTTTACAACATTTTGAAAGGACAAGGCAATAATGCCTTAGTGCGCCAATATGGGTGACACCATAATTATGTTATCTACTTGTCTCAATGTAACGGGTGCAGTGGCAGTGCCAATAAGATATTTGCGATTTAAATCTCTGAATGGCACTGTAATTGTTATGGATAGGCGTGTCGCTTACCTCCAGGCGCACGACTTGTTCGTCGGTACGAATATACTATATTCGAATATATACATATACATATAATACCTAGTGACGGTGTCACTAGGTATTATATAAAAAAAGATGTAATAAGTAAACAGTGCCAGTAAAAACATGTTTCGTATGTATTAAATAGCGTGTTTAGTTATGCAATGTTAAATGACTACCACAACAATAAGTAAATGTCGTTTTAAGTAAACTTCACAATTTTGAGATACGAATCGACTAATCCGAAGATTATACAACGAAAATAGGATAAATACATATAAACAATAATCTCCTTATTCAAAATAAGGCTAGCTATAGGTGTTTTCATAATTTGATGTATTCGTTTTCGATTTCGATTATTTCGTTTCGGAAATATAAAATCGATCAATGGTCGATTTGATATCCACAGCTAAGAACAGCGAACGAAATTTATAATGTCCTGAGAATAAGCAGTCTTGCACATAGGCATTTGTTCTACGGATGAGCCGGAATGCATGCGCGACTTGTAGTTTTTAGCAGTTATAGAAATATAGTCAAATACAAATCTATTCGGATTTCTGCACACTCTAGTCATCACATCACCGGCTTTCTTTAACAAATGCGTGTGTTTCCGTTAATTTCTAATTTAATACTTGCAAGCTGCATGACCCTCGTCATCTCGTCGAGGAACTTTGTGAAGCCCCTAATCCGTATTAGCCAAGTTTTGAAACATAATTACGTCTAGGTAAAAAATATTACACCACTCACGACTTCGCTGTATTCGAGATTAAAACGAAGGTAAGCAAAAAAGTTAGTCTTACTTTAGCGCTAAATGTTGCAGGCTAGAAAGCCTGGCGCAAACTAGATGTGTTCACAAAGGTTTTATGTACCAGATTTATTAGAACTTTATTTTCTAATACAACGTCAAGATAAGAGAGATCCTGTCTAATTTGTACTTGTTCATAAAGCATGGAAGACTAACCAAGGATTAATGACCACTTACTTTGATCTCTTTACGATTGGCTCATTAATTTGAACTTTTCTTTTATTGTAAGCAAAGCCTTTCAGTGACAGAGATCAAGATATTTTTGGCGTGCAGTCAGGGAGATAATTCTACTATCGAACGTAAATATCATCTCTATAACCAAATTACCTTCTCCGTTGAACAAGGTAATTCAATTGGTAGCCGACTCATATGTGAAACACGTATATTATAGTGAACTAACTCCATTTGAAATTACACTGAAGTTAATAAATAATAAAAAGAAATACTAATTAATATGTAATAGAATATACGGCTCTTCGTGAAAGTCTTCATCTAAGGAAGTAATGCCATCTTACCTATTTCTGCAGCGAAGCAGTGACGTGAGCTGTGCTCGTGCGCAGTAATCTGCGTTCCGGTTTTGAAGGCTAACGGCGCTGGCGAAATTACAGGCACATGAGACTTGTCAACTTATGCATCCATATAACATGCATATGCAGCGCTTGCACTGTGGCAGTGTACCTCAAATCTTTGTGATGTAAACTTTTTAACACCAGGTGCACGACCTGTTCGTTCCGTCACTTGGTTTCATAAGAAAACTAGTTATTTAAAAGTCTGTTGAATTAAGTATATTTTGTGTTACAAAAATCTGCATTTATTTAAAACAACATAAATCGAATAATAATGAACGAAGCAAAGAATGTTGCAAATGAAGCAACGATTGAAATATCAAAACATTATTTTTCAATATTTTTTTTTAAATGCACGTGCGCATTTGACCTCCATCTCACCTGATGGGAAATGATGATGAGGTCGACGATGGAGCATGCACACTTAAATAATGCCTATTTACTCTCGCCTTGAAAAAGCCCAAGTTCTAACATTCAGGGAACAAGTCTGCAGGCAGGGAATTTCACTCCATAATCGTTCGCCATATAAATCTTTTTTATTTTATGAAACGAACGTGTATTTGCTTCGCCGTGAAAAGTAAATATAAATTTTTATTTAACATACAAAAATACGAATTGTTTTCTATTTTTAGAGCTTCGTTCTGTTTGTGTTTTTATATTTAACATATACCCGATTTTTATTTTTTATTTTAAAGTTAACTGTGGTAGTTTGGTGGGAGAGAGGTTGCTACTCAATTAAAACGTTAATCGAGTAGCAAAAGAAATCCTTGTGAAAGAGTCAGTCCAAAGAAGCACTGCCACCTTACTTATTTCTGCCGCCAAGCAGTAATGTGACCATTATTGCGTTCCGGTTTTGAAGTGTAAGGGAGCTGGTGAAATTACATGCACATTTCGCTTACTTGGTCTATAATGACGTAATATAAATTTTGGCGAAATTAATTATAGTATATCAAATCAAAACATCTGTAACAAACTGTATAAAATTATTATTATTATTATTATTATTAAACGTTTATTAACGTTTGGAGAAAAATCAGCAGAAATGTTAAATTTATAAGAACTGTAAAAAAATACACTAAGTTTATTAATACGCCTTTTTTTGTATAATATCAAACCTCATGTTAAGCTACACGCCTGTCCATAACAGTTGCAATGCCACTCAGAGCTTTAAATCGCAAAGATCTGATGGGCACTGCCAATACGACCGTCACCCTGAGACATAAGTTGACAAGTCCCATGACCTTGTAATTTCACCAACACCCTTCTAAAGTAGATCGCAATAATACTAACATTACTGCTTGGCAGCAGAAATAGATAATGTGGCAGTACTTCCCAAGACGAACTCTGTCACAAGGAGCTGCTCTACTTGAAGTTGAAGACTGTACCACCTCAGTCAACCGTGACCATAGGACCTGTAAAGAGCCCGAAACGTCGGTTTGTTTGGAAAAACAAATATACGCGATTGAAATCCGAAAAACCAGTTTCATTTAGTATGTGTAACAATCGCGAAAACCTAAGAACTCGATATAGCTGCTCTACTGTTGATAAAAGGCATACAGTCGAATCTATCGCCTGTAACATTACATTGCGTTAATGTAGCATCGAATGAGCGATATGCCCATTGTATCCCAGGGTGACGGGCGCAGTGGCCGTGCCCCTCAGATCTTTGCAACTTAAAGCTCTGAGTGGTGAAAACGTGTGGACTTACCAAACCGCATTGGGCTACCATGGCAGACTATATTAAAGCCTCTTCTTTGGTAAGACCCGTGCCCGGTAATGGAACGTATAATGGCTGGATGGTGACGAAAAAGCATGAAAATGTCCGTCAGCGTAACAGACAAGCAATGGCCTTTCATCGGCCGGCTTGACCGTGACCGATGACCGCGTTTCCGTTTCCTCATTACACACGACTTAACTACCAACAGTTTAGTGCAATGTCGCCGATTTAAGATATAACTGCCACCTTCAGTAAATAACCCTCAGTTATCTGTCATTATGACGTGAAAGATATAAGTGCTTTATCTTTGCATTGTGGGTGCTGGATGAGGAGATCCCGGATTCGATTCCCGGTAGAACCAATTTCTAAATAAGTTGAACACCCATTATTTAGAGTGGCATGGTGGTTGGGTAGCCCCAGAGTGAATTCCGTAGCTCTAATACTTATTGTACGGGAAGTTCCAGAAGGAGGTTGCATTATTTATTACTTGTTATTAAGTTGGTAATATATTTTTTTTAAATGTAAGCTACTTCCATTTGCTAAAGGGGCGATATATTTTAATGCTGACCACGGATCCATTCCAAGAAGGGGACTTAAACAATAGGTCACCAGGCCGGCATAACGAAAGTTAACGCGTTCACAAAGTTTTCCCAGTTTTATGTATGTATATTGGTCATAAAAACAAAGCATTTCTTTTCCCAAAAGCACATAGCATTTATTTTTCTGAAAATAAACAACATTACTTTTTTCCAAAATTCAACAATATCTTTTGCCAAAACGTCTGAGGAAACACCCGTCACGTAATACCGTAACGCAAATGCTAATGGCCCTGTGCACAAAAACCGCTGTATGAGTCACCGGAGGCTGCGCCAGAGCGTGTAATGATTTTGCGTACTGAGCCCGACGCGGACACGTGCACAGAACGAGCACGATTAGTCGTTGACTAGTCGATTGAT